ATCTATCTATCTATCTATCTATCTATCTATCTATCTATCTATCTATCTATCTGTCTGTCTGTCTATCTTTCTATCTATCTATCTATCTATCTATCTATCTATCTATCTATCTATCTATCTATCTATCTATCTATCTATCTATCTATCTATCTATCTATCTATCTATCTATCTATCTATCTAACTATCTATCTGTCTGTCTGTCTGTCTGTCTATCTTATCTGTCAGTCTATCTGTCTGTCTGTCTGTCTGTCTGTCTGTCTGTCTGTCTGTCTGTCTGTCTGTCTGTCTGTCTATCTATCTATCTATCTATCTATCTATCTATCTATCTATCTATCTATCTATCTATCATGATATAACATGAGAGCGGACTATGGCCTCTTATAGGAAATATATTATTGTTTATTTTAATGTAGAATAAAACTGGCCTGAATTAGCCTGCATCTATTTACTGTATTAAAATGGTTTCTTTGCAGTCGGTCTTGATTTGGGAAGGTGACTACCTTTTTGGTTGACCATGCAAATGTTAAACCAACTTCAGGCTCCCATGAGGTCGTTCACTCAGATTGCCCTCCCTCTTTCGGTCACATGGCTGTAACATTTACTCATGTTGCATTGGGTTGGACCTAATGTTCAACTAGGACTGAAACAGTGCGTTTGTGTGAGGCTGTATACGCTGCTGTCTTGGAGAGGGAGATAAAACAAGACTGATAAAGAGAGAGGGAGGAAGGGAGGGACCAAGAGAGAGGAAGGTGAAAGAGAACACCTGTAGCATGAGATGTTGCATTCAAAGCAAGCATTTAGAAGGAGGGAGATTAATTAAGAGAAGAGGAAGTAAAAGTGTGAGAAGGTATTAGCAGCTCTCAGCACACTGAACCTGAGCAGCAAAGTGAAGTTAGTGAGTGAACACCGAGGGCAGCTTGTCAAAGCCACAATGGTTTAACTTCTTCTGGACACCTGTTCATCCACACCAAGAGCACGCTTGAAATAAGTGAACACAACTTTTCAGGTGAGACTGATCAGAAGCTCTTTTTGTGTTTTGATATCGTTGGTGAACTGCATTTGTTCTTGTATTTCTTTTTGCATAGACGAGACTATTAGAGTTTGCATTCTTAATTTGCCAGATTTAGTAAAAACATGCAGGAGGATTTTTTCATCTTAAATTAAATTCCATTTACATTAAATATGATATATAAAACAAATGATCAAACAGAGAAGTAGTTTTAAACACAGATTAGTATAATTTGAACAAGTGTTTTGATCATGAATTCTCCTAAGAGCCTGTTAAGAACAAACGATTCAATGAAGGCCTCCCTTGAGAGGCTGTATGCTATATGGCATGTTGTAGGGCCCAGATGAGAAAGATGTAACATTTGGGACACAAACAGCAGCGATTTGATGTCCAGGCCTAGACTTGCGGGCAAACTTGACACCCTCCATGACTGCTCGGAATACGGCAGGGCATGTCCTTGGGTTAACCTCTCCTCTCCTCAAACATTTGTATCACCGGGAAGGCTTTGAACTTGGTTAGTGATTTCCTAGGTTTAGACAGGCACATTGTACCCTCTCTGTGATCTCTGGGGTTCTTTAGTGCTGCTCAGTCACACAACGAAGAAAACAAAGTAACTTATTATCTAGCTCTGAGGATATACCTCCTGAGTAGCTGACGGTCAGGTGACTTTTAAAAATGACCTGCAAACTATTAAATACAACTATTGCTAGTATTTAAAATGTATGTACTACATTTTTTGTTGTTGTTGTTGTTGTTGTCATTTTCTAAAGTGCATTTTTAAAAGATTTCTATCAGGTCTAATTTTTTTAAAATCGGTCTGAGTAAAATTCTGAAATGCACATCCATGGGACATTTTGAGGCTGTGGCTCATAATTTGACATGATCAATAAGCATGAACAATAAAACCATTAAATGAACCTTCACCCCAGCAGAGGAAAGCACCTGACTCTCCCACGATTAAACCTTACAGTCAGTTTCAAAGTGCAACAAGATCTCCTCTATACATCTACAATCTACTTGGCCACAGCAAACTAAGTGCAATTAAGGTAAGAGTATAGCAACTTCTAAAAGTGACTGAATCCTGTCATTATGTAATTGTAGAAGATCAGTGACAAATCCAGTGGAGAGACTCTGTTACCTCATAAAATGTTCCTATTCCCTCAAATGCCCCCTTATTTTGTCATTGGCAGACAATGCAACATTACATGAAAATGTTTTTTTGTTTTGTGTTAAATTAGGGCTGTTGGCGTTGTCTCTGACCCTTCATGGCAGGGGTTTTCATTCTTTTTCATGTTGGTAACCCCCAAATATGATGATCCCCTCACAAGAAACCCCTTTTCTAAAATGCAGCAATATTCTTTTACTGTATAAAGCCTTATTTATACTGTGTGGAAAAAATAGTAAGAATGTGTAATTGTAAAAAAAAATATTTTTTTTGTTAAATTAAATATGGATTTTATACTGCTGCTTTAAGGCCAAAAACATTTTTAAATATTTATTTTTTCTACTCACGGTTAATGTCAGATCTTCTATTTAATTTCAAATTGTTTTTTTTTATATTGCATTTTACACAGTAAATATTGTTCAGAAGCAGTTTTGTAGATTGCCTTACAACCTAGTGTAAAGGTGGCAAATACAAACATGCTAAAAAGATGCAAAGTACAAATTATTCTTAAAATTATGTAGTCTTGCAAGAAAGGATTAAGGCGTTAAATCAATAATTAAATGAATAGATATAGATAGACACACAGATAACATTTTTAATGTTATTGTTATCTGCCCAATAAGAAAATTTGGCCGATATATTAAAGCCGATAAATAATGGATTATTTACTTCAGCTGAGACACTTCAGATGCCATGTTCACCATGATTGTTTTGAATTGCTTAAAATATGATTGGAATCACTTAAAAAAAAAAAAATATACAGTTAAGAGCAACATGTGCAGCGCAAGTCTGTCATATAGGATACATAAAATTATAATGAGAACATCATTATAATTGTGTGCTTGGGACATGGATTTTAATGGTGAGACTTTTGTTTTTGTAATCAGTCTCTCAAAAATTAAATAATAATTTGGATTTAGGTTTATCGGCCAATATATCGGATATCGGCTTTCAAATATAAATAATTATCGGTTATCGGTATCAGCCAAAATGTTCATATGTGCATCCCTAATAGATTATATATATATATATATATATATATATATATAATCTATTTATATATATATATATATATATATATATATAATCTATTAGGTATGCACATGAACATTTTGGCTAATACAGATAACCGATAATTATATATATTTGAAAGCCGATATCCGATATATTGGCAGATATATCTAAATCCAAATTATTATATAATTTTTGAGAGACTGATTACAAAAACAAAAGTCTCACCATTAAAATCCATGTCCCAAGCACACAATTATAATGATGTTCTCATTATAATTTTATGTAGCCTATATGACAGACTTGTATATATATATATATATATATATATATAATCTATTAGGGATGCACCGATATGGTTTATATATATATATATATATAGGTCTCTCCATACGTATATGTCTATTTCTACATCTGATGTTTAACAAACTCCACCCTGATGTGAGAAAGGAGCTTTGTCACGTTTTAATGGAATTCAAAAAGTATTTACGTGGTCTTGTTTTCTTGCATGAACCCTCAATGAGCAATATTACCAGAAACTTTGAAGTATATGAGGTGGCAACTGCCAGGTGAAGGGTGTGTTTAGAGCCTTCTGAAGAACTGATACTTGAAATCTTATCTCACACCAATGCTATAAAGCCTGCTGCATTCGCTGGACAAACCATGACACATTCTTTAATACATTGTATTTAACGATGACTATGACAACGTTGCAAAGGGACCAGATGTCACACCCATACCATTCGCATTATTGTTACCAGTTCGCAGGTGTGCGAGTCTCCTGTGTTTACACTGGTTGCTATTAAATGGGTAAATCATTGTACATGCTTTGTGTGATGTGTACAATTAGCTATGCACTGTCCAATATTACATATCAAATGATACTCTATCAGGGTGGGATGAAACACGAAGTTGTCCATCAAGTTGATGTTCATATGTCTTGGTTCTCGCAATGTTATTTTGCTGCATCTCAGATCTCATGGGAGTGACAGGGGATCCAGTGGTGCTCTTCATTAATTAAACAGCTGAGCAGCGGAGTCAGGTGTCCTCGTGTTATTCTAATCTAATCACTGGATGAGAAGACACACATTTGACCTCACAAAGAACATTTTGCTGCTTACAATGTGCTAAAGTATGCAAATAAGCCTTTATGCTAATGTTCTGATGCTGTTTTTGTATCCATAGAAACACATCCTAGGGCAAAAACTGTGTGAGTTTAGATGATAAATGAGAGTGTTGTGCTATGCACTGGAGAATTAAGCCGCTTGCAGTTGCAGACTCACTGTTAAATTATGAGTTCATATTCCATCACATTACTCAACATCTCTTACCTCTAGCTACCTTATATGCTCATTCCCTCTCAAGAAACCCTCTTTCTAAAATGTAGCAATATTTCTACTGCAAAGACTTCATTTATAATGTGTGAGAGAGAAGAAATAGCAAGAATGCTTACTTTGTAAAAACAACATCAATTATTTTTGCACAATACCTGCTTTTATACTATTTTACTAAGACCAAAAATACACATTTTAAATGTTTTTTTTTCTACCCACTGTCAATGTCAGATGTATAAACCTTTTTTTTTTTTTTTTTACATAGCATAGTAAATAGTTCCAAAGAAACTAGCAGAGAATATTGCCTTAGAACCCACAGTGAGAAATATAAAGGTGACAGTGACCAATAAAAACTGTTAAATTAAGAGTTAGAAACAATATTTTGAAACATTACTCAATCTCCTTTACCTCTAGCTACCTAACAAATCTGCATTCATGTTATAGGTCTACTGCTTTCACCATCTCCCTTTCGCCCCTGTCATGGCCGACCCTGCATGGTGGAAACTCACCTTCCTAAGAAAAAAAAAGTCAGAGCCGAAGGTCCTATATGAAATACCGCCCGACTTCAGCACCAACAATGCAAATAAAGACCTGGGCAATGATGCCGCAGACAACAATTTGGATGCCAGACTGGAAAAAATAGTGGATAAATCTGGGACCAAGGGCCGTCACGTCAAAGTCTCCCATTCTGGGCGGTTCAAGGAGAAGAAGAAGATTCGCTCAAGTCTGACGGAAAACCCAAGCCTTTGCCCTGAATCTGCTAGGACAGACAAGAGCCATGTGGAAAAATAACACCCAGACAAAGCATGCCATTTGGGGACTGTTTATAACTGCATACATACATTAATTTTGACTAATTTTTATTTGTAAATTCCCATTCGACATGATCCGAGTAACTGACGCAGCGAAGATACTGGAACAGAAAATTATTTTTTTTTTACAGCCAGTGCTTTAATTTAAAGCAGCCCTCGAGATGAATAATAAATAGTTTATATTTCCTAGGCCTAAATCATAAACAATATATTGCAATGCTCATACAATACGATATTTTCACTGTGGGACAATTAAAATACCTTACAAGGCACAGAAATCACAACTCTACTGACTTACATACAATCCTCATATTTTTAAATTGGTCATACAAATGTACATTATTGTGTAAAAGTAGCAACAAACTTGGGAAACAGACTGTTGTTTAGCTTGCATTTTAATGGACCGCTGTGCCCTTTGATTGGCACTTGATGACGTGTTTTTATGTTATTTTTTGAGGTTGAACATCAGTTGTGCATAGGACTTTATCTCTGATTTTATCAGTTTACCATAAAAAGGGTTTCAATTGGTGCATGGACAGCCAAAGTCTCAGCACGTGAAAGATAAGTTCTCCAACTACCACTACAGCTTTAATTTGCCTTGTTTAATCTGTATTTGTCTATTGTTTACTGAGATCTTTGAAAGGTTATTGGTAAAATATGCTAAATAAAGATTTTTATTGAGATTGCTGAGATGTGTTAAAAAAAAAGAAAAAGAAAAAAAAGAAAGCACAAGTTGATTTGATTCCACTGCCATCTTCTGGCAAAAAAACTCAATGAACATTGCTGCAAAAATTAAACAGGTTTACTACTTTTTTTTTTTTTTTACATTTACAGAAAAAGTCACCAGTCATTACAGAATTACATCGAAATGGACAATTATTTTAGGGTAACATTAAGTTTGACACATTTATTTGACACATTTGTCTAGCAGAATATTTGTTGTATATCATGAATGATGCACAAACAGGGGAACATGTTGGGATGTTTTTGTTGTTGTGACAGAAGTCCAAAGTTTATGTTCTCTAAAACTACAGTTAAGGCTGCAAGTACAGCTGTGCCTTTCAATTATTAATAAACATTAGATCAGACTTTGCACTTGCAAGTAATAGATTAAGATTATGTTGAGGTCAGTTTGGTCACACTTTACATTAGGTGTCTTTAACCACAATGTGCTTACATACACATTTGTATGTATTGCACATGTATTGCACTGCTATAGAGGTAGGATAATGGGTAAATTTAGGGACAGGTTTCATGGTATGGCTAGGTTTAAAGGGCTGAGGGAATATCAACAGTGTAATAATAGATGTAATCGCAGAAATTAACTACAGCTGTAGTTACATGAAGGTATTTTTAAATAGAAGTACAATGTAAAAACAAGTATGTGCACATTAAGTTCAATTCAATTTAAATGCTAGTACATAGTAAAGACACTTATTATTAAGTGGGACCGTCAGTTTTGAAGGCTTAATGACAAACGCTGGAACAAAGCACCATTTATAATGCAACACATGATTTATATTCACAAAATCATGTTTACAGTGAAAATCTCCTTTCTGGTTTTGGTTAAGACAATACGAACGTAGGCAAATATGGAGTAGTAAGTCTTCACAAGTCAGTTAATGCCCTGGTGGCATTTTAAATGACAGTTGCTTTCAAGTAATGATGATGTATTGATGTCACAGACGGTGATGTTAATTTCACAGCATGTGCAGTATCAAGGGGACAAGCGTTGGAATATCCAGCCCCCCTCTGCTTGATGCTGCATATCCCCCAGCTCAGTCTCTCCCTCTTTTGGCCGCACAAATACTATTCGGTCATGTAATCTATTGGTCTGACCCTGCCAGAACTCAATCAGGGAGGGTTTCACTATGTATCCACCCCTGCAGAAATAAATATATCCATGATGATGATGATGATAATCATAAAAGAAACAATTAAAATAAAATAAAAAAAAACAGGAATTTGAATTTTGAAATTAATAAACAAAGATTACACACCAGTAATCTGGCATCGGTACATCCGTGTCCTTATACTTGTCTTCAAGCTCTGCATTCTTTTCTCTCAGGTACTTTACGGGGCACACAAAAAAATGGGTCAATAAAACAGTTGTTTGAACGTTTAGCTGAATGCTGAAATAAATTGTGTCTGTGTTATTTTTGTATTATTGAGATACCATTATAGTTTTTATAAATATGTTGAATTAGCTTTTATTTTTTATATTTTAAGAATTAATTTTAATTATAACTATGTTTTATTTATTTCAATTTATAATAAATATTACTATTTAGGTTTAATTTAATTTAAGTTGGGTTATGGTTTTAGTTAAGTTTCCAGTTAGTAATTTTATTGCTTCAACTTTTAGAGCCTAAATTTTAATTTGGTTAGTTTTTCATCTAATATTCATGTTTCATTTGATTTCAGCTGTATTTCAATTAACATTAATGTGTTTAATAGTTTTAGTTAACATCAATCATATTGGATAGAGAAACAAGTGCGGAGTCTTCTTTAGAATATTTGAACTTCTGTTTTTGCGGTAGCTTTGTATATTTCTATGGCATCGCTGTATAAGAGTAATTAGCCAGTGAAGTGTATTTACTTATTGTAGAGTTAATGAAAGTTATCATTATGGGCATTGTAATGTTTAAAGTGAATGACAAATGTCAGTAGATCGGGAAATTTTTTAAATGATCGGCTCTTGCATAAATCTGTAAGATATTACCTTCATACTGTGGAAATACAAACCGGAAGACAGAACACAATGGGCGCATCACTGAAAAGGGGCAGGGCTACATAGGTCTATACTATAGTAAGGAAGTGATACTCACTTGTCGGCTTGGTATTACGGTGCTCTGCCTGCTAACAACAGCACCGATCTGACTGCTCTTGGGCCTTGAGTGGAAGTATTCATGTGAACTCTCGTAAGGGATTCTCTCTACAGCGCCTTCAATGCGGATCTGTTTGTGCACAAAACTTCACATTATAAAAAATACAACGGGGTCCTAAAATCCAAGACTACATTTACAATGAGTGTGTTTTTTGTTGTTGTTGTTGACAAATATTAAAACAAAAGATAATATTCTAATGATCTGAAGTCTGAAGAATTTGCTGGATAAGATTCTGAGTTCTAAGAATAACACTCACCTGCCTGTTTAATGGTTCCCAGTAAAAGACAAGACAGGCATGGGGATTGCTGTCCTATATGATTGAAATAAAGAGGTAATTTTAAAGACACAAAGGTAAATCCATATGGACATTTACTAAATAAAATATTGTTTTAAAGACTCACCAGCTCTGAACCTTTCCGACTCTCATAGTTGGTAAAGAAGCGAAATCCCTCCTCGCTGTAGCCTTTCAGAAGGACCATGCGTGCAGAGGGCCGACCGTCCCTTTAGAAGAGACAAGAGACATGCATTTGGGCCAAACTGAATTAGTGAATTATTGCATTATTAAATACAAGCTACACTGTATATTTGCATATACTGATGAACTGCAATGATATTCTTACTTGGTGGCTGTTGCAAGACACATTGCATTGGCTTCCCCCACCTCAGGGCATTTAGTGGCTTGATCAAACCAGCTGCCGAATTGCTTGATTGGATCTAAAGAAGCAAGCTGATCCTCCTCAAAACACTGTAGGATGAAATTAAGAGAATAGAATTTAAATTAATTATTTACGTAATTACTCTCTTATAATTCTCTCTATATGATCTTAATTAGTAAAAGATTGATGGAAGTCCACCTTTTAATGTCAACTGATAATGCACAAGGTCAATGCATTAATCAATTATCAAAGACGTTTGCAAAGCACCTAAGTCAGTTGCAGATCATGAATAAAATGCTCAATATTTTAGAATCACAATAAGGTTTTTAAGAAATAATACAGAAAATTACTGTTCTTCTTGTCAAGCCTTTTGGTGTAAAAAAAAGTCACTGTTTCTCTGTGCAATAGTTCTTTTGAATAGGGTCTGAGGTCATGGACATACATGACATAACAACCCGTCAAAGCCATGCCTCCCACCTCCTGGTCGCTCTTATAGCTCTTTCTCATGTTACTCAGATCCATGTTGCTGCCGCTGTCCGTAAATTCCCTGCAGAAAAACGAGGTAAATAACGGAGGATTGCGGACTGCCAAGGTAACACTGGGTTCAATAAGCTTCACAATGTTGATGATGTTCCTAGACGCGCAGAAGCTCAAAAGACGTCTCATGCCTGCAGCTCCAAACCTGCGTCATCACGTTCATGCTCTTACGTAAACGTTCTGAAAACTCACTCAATCAGTTTTGTAAAAATAAATATATTTTTTTAATGAATAAAATAAATCTATAGATACGTGATATTTAATCTTTAATTATACATTCGATAATTATTTTACATTTTCAAAATAGCGGCACGATTTAAAAAAGTAACCTTTAATTTGTATATTTGTGTAAACTTAAAAAACACACACACAAAAAAAAAAACTAGCAAACATACAAAATAGATTTTGGGGTATTATTACGTTTAAGTTTTTTCAAACATGACCAGAACAACAATAGACATATAAAATTATTATTTTTTATGTCTATGATAAAACAGCTAACAACTTTTATTTTGTAGGCATGATACAACAAATTTGTCCTAATACGTCAAATCCGGATCAAGAAAGATGGCAGCGACCTTGTGTGGCAGGCTTCTCCCGAAAGCGGGTAAGATTCTGTTTTTTGCAGTGTTGAGTTTGACCTAAAAAAGAAATACCATACATAACAAGCAGGTATCGGCCATTTACATTTAAACTATGAACCCCATTGTAAAGTTACATCTGAAAGACACCATTAAGCTATTATTGTGTTACTGTACAGCTGCAGCATCATCTATCAGGGACTATGCAATTCATTTTTAGGTGCTTTTGTGTGTTCAACTCTTTCCTGTTTACATAATGTTATTTGGTATATCACTCCAAATTTAGCATAATGATATGAATGCATACTGCCACTTTGGATTTTCGTCAAAACCCCTGTATTTGTTTTCATGAGAACGTCACGTGATATTTTAATCATGACACTCGTGAATGATTTGTGGGATCCTTTACATTCATATCGCATTATGAATATGAATGTTTACATCGTAGCCTTAATGTTATTCTTTCCAATATTCATATTATGTCAACCTACAGGATGGCTGCCATTAACCCAAAGTGTTCGTCACGGCTCCAAAGCTGTCACTCGTCACAGAAAGCCAGTACACTTTCTCAAGCAGAAGCTGTTGGCTGTCACAGAGTACATTCCCCCCACACCTGCAGCTCCTCCTGCTGCTCTGGCTCCACGAGTCAGAAAGATTGAAGAGGTTGATCCTTGCAGTAGTTACTGAACACTATGTTGGAAGAATTTAGTTGAAGGATTACAAGGGAATTATCATTCGGTCAAAATTAGACGAATACTTGTATTAATCACTTTTACTTATATAATATATAATAATATTATATACTTAAAAGATTAGTTCACCCAAAAATTATGTAATCATTTACTCAGCCTAATGTCATTCCAAACCCGTAAGACTTCAGTTCATTTTCGAAACACAGATGAAGATATTTCTGAATGATTTCTGTCCCTCCTTTGACAGTCCAGGCAACTCCCACTTTGACACTTCAAAAAGTTAATACAGACAAGAGATTGTAAAACTAATCCATGAGAATTGAGTGGTTTAGTCCAAATTTTCTGAAGAGACTCGATCGCTTCATATGATGAGCGGATGGAATATGCAGGGAGTCAGGGACAGGAATTTCTCAGATTTCATAAAAAAAAATCTTCATTTGTGTTTCGAAGATTAATGAAAGTAGTGAACTAACTCTTTAATATTATATTATCATTATATTATAAATAGAATTATTTTAAGAGTGTCTTTTTAAGTGTCCCATTCTGAAAGATTGTTTTCGGCTCAGAATACTAATAAAGGGTAATTGAGAGAAAAAAAGGAGTATTCTGTGGCGGAAACAAGCTTCCATGGTGCCATGCTGGCTTTCTTTTTAGGAAAGTACTATAATAACAACATATAATAATATGTATTATGCAATATTTATAAAATATATAGTCAAATGTATAAGTGTTCCATTAACATATATATCAACTCACTTCTCTTTTAGGAAAGTGCTCTGGCAGTTCTGTTGCGGAAAAACCTAGAAACCTTGTTTAAGGAGTGTAAGATGATTGCTGTGGTCCAAAACAATGCAATCAAAGCAGAGGACCTATTGCAGCTGAAACACAAACTGAAAAGACACAATATCAGTATCAAGTTCTTTCCAAACCAGGTAATGCCAAGCTTTAGTGATGATTACCACTGTTGAGATGTGAGCTACTGCTGTGTGACATTTTATTTGTGTTTCTTTGCAGGTGACGAGGTCTTTCCTCAACAACAGCAATTACAGTAACATGTTGCCTCTATTTATTGGCCAGACTGTCATATTTGTTAGTAAAGAGCCAAAAGTTAAGGAGATGCTGCAAGTGTTGAGGCACAGTCCTCAGATGGTCCTGTTAGGTGAGTCAATGTGCCATATACATGAACTTGCATTCATATAAGCCTTCAAAAAAGTTGGTATTGTCTCAAACTAAGGCTTTCTGAAACATTATCTTTCAGGTGCTTGTATAGAGAACACATTGCTCTCTTATCAAGGTATTCTCAAATACTCCAAACTCCCGTCTATGACCACTATCCAGGGTGAGCTAGTTGGTGGACTAACCATGATGACCTCACAGACTGTCTCGATGCTACGCCACCATCCAGCTCATCTTTCTGCCCTCCTTCAGCAGTATGTGAAACAGCAGGGCACTGGGGACGCCACAAATGCTGTTACAAATAAAGATGCTTCTACAATACAGGAAGCTGCTGCTTGAATTTTACAAATAGACATGGATGAACAGCTGTGTATGATTGACAAAGTGCATATAATAAAATGATATTATTTAATTAAAGTTGCATTTGGTCATTTGTATGCCATAGTTGTAGGTAAACAAATGTTTGTTTTCTCTAGCAGTTTCAAACACCTAGTAAAAAAACTTTTTAAAATAAAATATTACCTCATATTTTGTCATTTCATAGCATTTATAAATATCAATATTCACTGTTAGTATACTATCAATATTTGTTTTACTGAGAATATGTTGCTTAAAAGCCAATAATAGGCTATTTAATGGCAGGTTGTTCCATTGTGACAATTTGCCCCATATAGCTTGGCATTGTCACAAAATGTCCACACAAAAAAATTGTGAAACGTCACCATGAAATCAAAATTGACATTTCTTTTTTTTAATGGAATATTTCAGTATTTATTCTAAATGATTTATCTGTGCACATCTTTCTTTTTCTTTTTATAAATGAATGTGCCCTCATAATCTTTAATCAAAACGGGATAACCTGTCATTCAAACGACAACGATCCAATCAATTCCCAGTGGACAAATCAAGTCCAGCCCTATATTTCTTTCTTGTCCGAGAAGCCGTTTCACTCGGATATACGTCACAATAGGTAAGAAAAGACAATCGCAACTTCCGTTTCATGCCGACATTAATCAATGAGCTGCATCTTCAGCATCAACGGTGGAAATGTAACAGATTTTTGTTGTCAAGTGTTTAAGGTATGTAATTGTACGGAAATTGACTTCTAAAAGGAAACCTGAAGAATATTCACTGGAGTGGAACAAAAAGCGTGACAACTAGCCCCGGTCTCCCCAATAATGTTATTTTAATGAACGAATTATTTAATTAATTTCAATAAGCAGCGCCAGTAAGTGCCTTTGCAAATTTAAACACATTAAAGTGCATTGAACTGATTTCTTGAAGTTAAAAAGCCAGGAAAAACATGGATTTGTACTGCCAGTGCCAAAATAAACACTATCATGGATCCTGATTAGTGCTAATCTCTGGATTAAGTTACTTCATGTTAATGTAACAATAGGTAATTTATTCCTTTATTGATACAACTCCGGGTCCGCTATTGTTGTCTCAGTTCTGTAGATTTTGACACCGCTGTGTGTTTTTTAGGTCAGGTTTACAATTGATCGTCTTTCAGTAAAAATCGTGTGAATTTGTAAAACCGCTCTATAAATAAAATGTAAATGCTGATCATACGTGAACCAACAAGGGGTTAAGTTACCCACTTGACCATCTCAGTAAAGAGGTAGCTGCTAATGGCAGAGTTTCAGCTTGAAATGCATCTGAATGGCTGGCTGTCAGTAAAGTTCCTCCGACATGCCTGTAATGCCGACAGCTTTAAGACTAATGCGGATAATGATTTGGCCTGGAGCCTTGGGTGGATTTGCTGGATGTTCAGTCACCAGTGGAGGATAGTTTGGGAGCTGAGTCTGACCATGATACATCGCTCTGGTATGATCACGGGATATCTGAATTCTTGAGTTTTAGTAGAAAGTGGTTGAACCGGTTGTCCTGCCAGATAGTGTAACGCACGTTTGAGCAAATGGGGAAGCATGAAACTCAGACGCTTAGAGAGACTAACTCAGAAATATACCACACGCTGGCTAAGAGCAGGAACCTCAGGTAAGAGCATGAGTTACAGTACATAAAGAAACTTTGGATTTAAATGCTGGTGATTGGTAGCACAGTAGACAAGTATGTCTGTTATTGAAGTGAGTTTTTGTATTCATTGTGTGGAAATTATGTATGGAAATTTACAGCCTTTATCAGTGCAATGGTAAACTTAGCTAACTTGAGCATTAGAGATAGTTCACCAAAAATTTAAAATGTCATAATTTACCCTCAAGTATTCCAAACCTGTTTGAATTTATTTTTTCTGCTGAACACAAAAGAAGATATTCTGAGGAATATGGGTAATCAAACAGTTGATACATATTGACTTCCATAGAAGGAAAACAAACTTGACCTACTATGGAAGTCAATGGGGCCCTTCAACAGTTTGCATACCAATGTTTTTCAAAACATTTAACTTTGTGTTCAGCAAAAGAAATGAATATAGGTTTGTAACAACTTTAGGGTGAGTAAATGATGACAGACTTCTCATTTTTGGGTGAACTATCCCTTTAACTCTTAAACAACCCTAAACTATCCATAGCTAAGAAAGGATTTTCTGTTGTTCAAACATAAGTTTTATATCACATCCTAGAACTTAATAGCTTAGATTGACATTTACAACCTGTACTATGTAGGCTATTTGGCCATAATAATTTCTGTATAAATCAGAAGCATTTGATCTATTTCATGTGTTGATTGGTAAACCGTGTAAGACTATACTGTACAGTTTTCTTCTCAGCCCAGAAATCTTAAAGTTAAATTTTGTGGAGTTAATCATATTTACACTTAAAATGTTTACACTGTATTGGCAACTATTTGGTTTCGGAACACACTTGATGGTGCTTTACGTATCCTGGTATAGACAACTTGGAATGGCTACTTTGACTAAATCTGCGTATCTGTTTAACAGATATTAGTTTTTAAAAGCATGCTCAGTTCTTATAAATTACAATCCAATCCAAATGATGTTATTATGATTATTCAAACCGTGTAGGCCTACGTCATGCTGTTTTCCTGCTGATATACATCATATTTACTGTGACCTGTCATCGTGCTCACAGTGAAAAGCTATTCAAGCTAAAGGCTGCTAAAAAGGGATATTCAAAGCCAATTATCGTAATGACGCTAAGCCTGTCCCGTAGGGACCGTTACATGTGTGAGGTTACTATCCATGAGCATGTGTTACTGCACATATGCCTTCCATAAAAGGAGGAATCTAAAACAATCTTTTAGATTTATCAACAACGATATTGTTAGTTCATTTTTGAATATGTAAATTACGTTTACCTTTATGTATGAATATTGCCAATTTTGTAATCAAATACTTTTACTCAACTGCTAATTTAGCTGTTTACAAAACACCTCATTTGCCCTCATTCTTGTTTAATGGGCAGGTATGAACTTGTCAGAGTTGTCAAGACAATATAAGATTCTAGTAAACAGGTTTGGTTTCTGTTACACCCCTCTGATGACATTCCATTCAGCTTTCTATCCAGAAAATGATTTTTTTTACATAACATATTATTGTAATGTATATTGTATATTACCGCAATGGTGTTTCCTTACACCATACTAATGAGTGTATTGTTTTTGTTTTCCTTGCTTTGCATTACTGTATGCTCTCTTGTGTTTCGTGCGCTAAGCCATTTGAAAAGTATTTATAAGTAAAATGAACTAGTGTGATTTAGTAAAGGGCAGAAGTTAAATTCCCAGGAAGTGTTGGCTAAGGCAGATCCCTACTGTTAGATAACAGAATTAGATGAGTTTTCTCTGGACACTATATTGCTTCTGTTTTTATTTACTGTCACAGTGCTGGTTATCTTTGCCATGTTTCTACCCTTGCAACTTATCGGCATTCACTTCACAAAACCAGACCTAAAATATAACGGCAATTATGTATTTTCATATACTGTGTGGAAAAAAAATGTTAAGCGCAATATCACAAAGACAACCTGTTATTTGCCAAATTAAATAATTGGCTTTTATATTTTCATTGTACTAAAATCAAAATAATCTAAAAAATAATTTGAATAGTATAAAATTGAATAAAGTTAATACCCGACTCTTTTGCAAAATACAGTGTATTATTACTATTAACTTCCCTTAAGTCTTACCACATGCTTGTCTGACTAAGCAATAAATGAAAAAGACATGCTAATAATGAAAAATCTTTTCTTTGCAGACATATTGTGCTCTAGTGTACAATGAGAAGGAGCCTCTAGCGGAGCGTATATTCACACCAAGCTCGACTAATAAGTGCACAAGAAGACATTTTTAAAATGGACTCCTACGTGTCTTCAGTGGACCACGGCCATTCACAGGCGAGTGGTGTGGAGAAGTTGTCTAGTGGCTGGCAAAAGCCCACTCATTCCAGGAGCAGCAGCACAGCATCCTCACGACACTCACGGCTGGTTTGTACCATCTGCTTGACATATAAACACCCAAACTCAGGTTGCTTCAACTGATTTTTCAACAGACCTAAATATTTTCTTTACAAGTGTTGTCTGAAATTGATTTTTTCTTTAGGTGTCTGAAACCAGTTTCTCAACTCCGAACAAGTGTCCAATTAGATAGTGTGAAAACCAAACCGACAAGTTTATGTCTTAACAAGCTCAATAGCTACATTTTGTTCATAGGGATTAAATGCAGCACATTTTAAATGGGTAAACGCCCTGTTGTACGTAACTGTGATTGCCTTTTCCACTCTGTTTCTAATAGAACATTAAAGACTGGGAAGTAATGGATGACTTTCCAGTAGATGTAAACTTCACTGGAGAAAACATGCAGGATGCGAACACTCCAGGAATCTGTGAAGGCTACTTGATGAAGAGGAGAAAGTGGCCTCTTAAAGGCTGGCATAAGGTATGAGAAAAATGTTACACGTATTTTTTTCCCCTTACGTAGTTGTTGGTAAGAATGTTTGAATGACTTTAAAGTTATACTTTCTTACAGAGATACTTTGTCTTGGATAAAGGGATCCTGCGATATACAAAAAACCCACATGATGTAAGTATGCTAATTATTTTTTTCCCTTACCAACAACCACAGATCTTGGATCCAGACTCTTTAAACATTCAGGGATTTACTTTTTCAACAGTTCTCCAAAGGGAAAATGCACGGCTCACTGGATGTCAGTCTCGCAGTTATGTCAGTAAACAAAAAAGCAAGACGCATAGATCTGGATGCTGGAGACAATCTGTATCACATGAAGGTAAGTCACTGTATTGCTGGCATTAATTGCTTGAAATTAAAGCTAATATTATCTTTAGTTCATCCAGCCGTCATCTACTCAAAAATAGTTGTTCCGTTGTTCCCAAATTGGGGTTCATGAACACCTTGGGGTTTGGGAGGGAACTGCAGGGGGTTGATGAAAAGCTAATAATTAATTAAACAATTAAAATATACCATTAAAAATAAAAAAAAACAATTAAAATAAAACGCTTATTAAAAATGTACTTACTATTTTATTTGCATGTCGTCATGTGACCATTAACTGACATCAGAGAACCATGAACATGCAAATGTGTCGTTAAATTATTGAAATATCCACAAAATATATATTTTTTTATATATCAGGGGGTACATCATGTAACAATTTTAGGTCAAAGAGGTTCAGCTGACAATAAACTATGGAGCTGGAATTCCATAATTAGTTATAGGAACATTCTTCAACAAACAGATTATGCTAAGTATTTCATCAAATAAATAAACCAAATAAATTCACTGCCAAAAATGTCAACTGAAGACAATTTACTTTTCTAACTAGGTCAAGACTCAGGAATTATATTACATATGGGTCACCAAGCTGAGTGCCCACAGGATGTATAAGAAGAACGAAGCTGCGCACATTCACAATGGCTTCCTCCAGGCCCTGTCCCATGGCAGTCATTTATCTCACAAAAACAGTGCCATGCAGGACATGGTGAGTAAAATGTTTCCTACATTGACTTCACGTTGCCCTGCCTCTAAATCACCAGGGATTAGGAGAATGTGTCCTCACAATTTAAGAACAAGTAGAATTAGCGATTAGACATCATGTCCCAGATGGTGGTTTTAACCGTAAATGCACACTAATAGATGCTTCGATGAGTTAATTGATTATATGTCTGATGAAAGTAACAAATGAATCTCACAATGCCAGGGCACGTCTGTGTCTAATGTGGGTGAAAATCTGCCATATGTCAATCCTGCCATTAATGGGAAAGTGTCAGCTTGGCTACAGTCCCAAGAACCTGACCTCTGTGCACAAGGTACTGCTGTATTTTTAAATACTAGTGAAATGGTAATAAAGGAATTCATAAGCACAGACGAGTAGCATTTGTGCTGTTTTCCAGAGCTTACACGCTGTCAAATGGAGCTGAATGAGCTGCAACGGCTGGTCCAAAAGTTGCAATCTCTAGAGTCGGGCAAATTGGTCAATAACGGAGACCTCCAGAAGATTATCAGCATGCAGGTTAGTAAAATGAACCGGCTGAAGTCAGGCCTTTGCCAGAATGACTTGAGTAAACGTTCCCACATGTGTTTGACCCACAGAATCTTCTTCTTGAAAAGCCTAAGAAGAAGTCTAGCAAGATTTGGGGTCATTCTCGCACACTGTCTCGAGTTGAGGCGCTTGGAATGGTGAGGCTTCTCAGTTTACATTTTCTTTTATATTAGGATATTTCCAATAAAGTCTTGGGAGCAATTATAATCTTTGCCCACAGGGATTGCCCTGCCATTGGGATTATTCCATGTTTTCCACAAAGGTTTGGAAACTATTATGGAATTTATTCCATATTCATGTGCAGTGTGATCCCAAAGATCTGTGTATTTTATTTTTGAATTCAATAGCCAGGCATTTGTGTTGTGATGTGTAGTAAGCATTAGAGCTTTAAAACCCCAAGTAATTTAGTCAACTCCTTTTTTACATGAAGCCATTTCGTGGGATTACTAAATCGGTAAGTCGGCACAAGACATTTCTTGTAAATTCTTTGTAACTTTCGTCACATTATACCAGGTAGAAAAAGCTTTAAACCATGTGGTCCTATTACATTTTGCATATTGCATATAATCATTCTAATATGCTGATTTGCTCCTCAAGAAACCTTTATTATTAATATCAATGTTTTAAAACGGTTGTGCTACTTTTGTGCCATTTTTCTGGAAACCATGTTACATGTTTTTCAGGATTCTTTAATGAATAGAACAGCATTTATTTGAAGTAGAAATCTTTTGTAAAATTATACTTTAAATGTCACTTTTGATCAATTGAATGCATTATTGCTGCATAAAAGTATTAATTTATTAAAACTGATCCTAAACTTTTAAATGGTAGTGTATATTATGGTTTGGTCTTTGCAAATGTCCTATAGCTTCTGAATGTTTCATGCTGAACATATCTGGTGGATTACAGCCTTAGATGTATAACCTTAAATACCAACATCTCCTCCTCCTTTTCTTTCCACCTTTTTAATGCAGTTATCATCAAGCCACCTGACCAGTTCTTCCCAACTGGGAACCTCCGTCCCCTCCATCCCCGATTATGTCAGCACCCAGGCGACCCCACCAGCCCCCATCTCATCAGAAGACAAGAAACTCCACCAAGACATCTGCTCCATGTCCCTGAAAGGTATGAGAGTAACGCATTAATGATTTAACCCTAGTTTATGCTTATTTGCTGCATTAGACTTAATTTCTGAATGTTTTTTTTCCTCTCAGTCCATGCCTCTCTGCGTACTACACATGAGGCTCTCGCTCAGGAGCGCCAACGCCTGCAGAACGCCTGGTCTAGCAGGGAGCTTCACCAGACTACCTCCGCTCAGATCAACAACCTCTGCAGCCTGGCTGAGGTAACAATGACTTATGTTACTTCGTGAAAGACCCATGGTGCAGTGCTTTCTCTTAAAAGCATGCAAAGATAGATTTATTTCAGCTTTCATCTTATTAAATGTGCTATACGCTATATAAAAGGTGTGTCTAATGCTGCTCCTGGAAGGCCACAGTCCTGAAGAGTTCAGCTCCAACCCAATTAAACACACCAGAACTAGCTAATCAAGGTCTTACTAGGCATACTATAAACTTGCAGGCAGTTGTCAAGTTGGAGCTAAACTACGCAGGAGAGTGGCCCTCCAGGAGCAGGTTTGGGCACCCCCTGCTGACACCCCTTTTAATGCTAGTAAATGCTTTAATGCAGTTATTCTCAACTGGTGGCCTCGGCAAACTTCTAAGGGGACCTCAAGATGACCCGAATGATTTAAAAGACAGAACAAGCTTTAAAATGAGTAAAAATCAAGATATTTCAGTGTACCCCCCCCCCACACACACACTTTTTTTTTTTTTTTTTTTGAAAAACCAGGGTTCCCTCTGTTTAAAAAAAAAAAAGATTTATGAGGTAGCCTAATTTTAGTGATTTGTAGACTTGGAAAACTTGAGAAATTGAGTAAAAATATATTTTTTAAATCCTTATCCTAAATCTTGATCTAGTAAATCACAAAGAACTGGAGAAATCATAGGGCCTTTGAATATTGTACAATGGTGGGATCAGGAGTCAAAACGGTTGAGAACCACTGGTTTAATAATTTTTTTCCAAGTGCATTATATGTTATGTTTTACTGCATGTGTGTGTGTGTGTATCTTTAGTTAGATGTTAACTCCCGTCATACCAAAATCCACAAACTCTCAGTGTCCTCCAACTCCTCAGATGAGTCCTTCCGTACTGTGCTACAAAGAAAGGTGTGTCACATTCTACCCAGAACCTACTCGTCCTGTTCCCTATTTTTGTCTCTCTCCCCCTCCCCCTCCACCCTCTGCTTCTTTCTTCTGTTTACAGGTTGATGGGTTTCACCTACTTCAAATGTCAAACAGAACAGACTCTTTTGTCCACTCATATTTTTATTAGCAGTATGAAGCAATCAAGCTCACAGTTTCTAACCACCTACATGTCTGTCTCTTTCACTCAGTCTGGCTCAGGCCGTAGTTCGCTTATCCGTGCGCCCTCGGTGGCTGACTCAGTGGCGGAGTATTTTGATGCATGTGATGAGCTTATGTGTGCGAGCTCTTCTGAGATATCAGATGAGTCCGGCCTGAGTGACGGATCCAGTAATTCAGAGCCTGATGAGGCTCATGGTTAGTGAAAACAAATTTAAATGTTCTGTAAGCACGTATGAGTGTGGTGTTTAGATGTCCGTATGCACTACCATTCAAAAGTTTGGGTTATGAATATTAAATTAGCATAAGTCAGCATATTAAAAGAGTAATGACTGCTGAGAATTCAGCTTTGCCATCACAGGAATAAAATTATATTTTAAAAACTATTAAAATAGAAAACAGTTAAATACTGTTATAAACTGTAATAATAATTTTTAATTAATTTTTATAATTTATCCCCCAAAAAAACCCAACTCCAAACATTTTAAATGGTACTGTGTACATTTGGTATAATCTATCACATTGTTTGTGTTACAACTTTTTGTCTTTTTATTGTTATCTCAACAGCAATGGCTACTCGCAAGTACCGCGCCAGCCTTTCAAAGGCGCCACCAAAATCGAACATCATCAAGAACACCGGAGGCCGTACTAGTCTGCCTGCAGTCTGCCCTGACAACAGCCACGTCGGTTTGATGACTATCCTCTACAACAACATAGGGAAGGATCTGTCCCGTGTCTCCATGCCAGCAGCTCTGAATGAACCTGTGTGCCTGCTGCAGAGACTCTGTGAGGAGCTGGAATACTCGGACCTACTGGACTCTGCCAATCATACCGATGACCCCTACCAGAGGATGGTAATAATTACACAAGCTTTAGCAAAACTACATACTGTAATTCAAACAAGGGAATGATTTACTAAATAATATAATGACCAATTACTTATTACTTTTTGTGTTTTTGAACCAAGGCTGCATAAAAAAAAAAAAAAGTAATATTGTGAAATAGTATTGCAATTTAAAATAAATGCTTTCTATTGTAACTTAATGTAATTTATTCCTGTGATGGCAAAGTTGAATTTTCAGCATCATTACTCCAGTCTTCAGTGTCACACAATCCTTCAGAAATCATTCTAATATGCTGATTTGGTGCTCAAGAACAATTTGTTTATGATTATCACGGTTGAAAACTGCTGCTTAATATTTTTGTGGAAACTGTGATGTGTTATTTTCTTCAGGATTCAAAAGAAAAGCATTTATTTAAAATAAAAATCTTTTTATAAATGTTTTGTCACTTTTGGCCAATTTAATACATCTTTTCTTAATAAAAGTATTAATGTCTTACAAAAAAAAATGTGGTGTATTTCTTTATAAATAGTAGAAATTTCTGTTTTGTCTCTGTAAAGGTTTATATTGCTGCTTTTGCCATATCTGGCTATGCCACGGCTCAGTTTCGCAACCGTTACAAACCATTTAATCCAGTCCTAGGAGAGACTTTTGAGTGTATCAGAGAGGACAGAGGCTTCCGCTACATTAGTGAGCAGGTAAGTGATTGTCACTACTGATCATACAACAGATATATTTTTGCTATCAAGCAGTTGTTTACTCTGTGGTTTTGTGTTTGCATTTAGGTTTCCCATCATCCACCCATATCTGCATGCCACGCAGAATCAGAGAATTTCAACTTCTGGCAGGGTATGTTTTATGGCCTGTGTGATGTCATGACGTACTGTATGTTTAAATTTGAATCTCATTCTTCTTCTTTTTTTAATCTTGCATGCTGAGAGCAGACCAGAGATGGAAGAACAAGTTTTGGGGCAAATCTTTGGAGATCATGCCAACAGGGATGGTGAATGTGACTCTAAAAAAGCAAGTATCTGCTTGACTTAGGTGTCGATGGCTTTTTAATTATAATGTTTTAGAGGAATTCTGATTGGTCTTTGATATACTGTACTTTAGATATGGGGACCACTATGAATGGAACAAAGTGGTTACGTGCATCCACAATGTCCTCAGTCAGCAGCGATACCTTGAGCACTATGGGGAAGTCGTCATTCGCAACCTGAACAGTTCGGTCTGCACCTGTAAGATCACATTTGTCAAGGTGTGTTTAGTTTTGATTGTTTAAATTTGATTCATTTTGAGTACATATAGGTGAAGTCTTTGTACAAATGCAGAGAATGTTTTTTTTTTTTTTTTCTCCCAGTCACGTTACTGGGGTTCAGATGGTTCCAAAAACGAAGTGCAGGGTCAAGTTCTTGACGAGGCTGGTAATGTCATCCATCGTTTTGGTGGATTTTGGCATGAGGGGATTTTCTGTGACACCCTGCCCAATCCACAGTGCATCTGGAAGCCAAGTGAGTATTGCTGTATTTCCTCCATTTTTTTTATTTAACACACGAGCTGCTGCTTGCAAACCAATTTGTTTTTGTAATGTGATGCATTTCTAAATGAAACCAATGAATGCTTTTGCTATAAGAAATGCTAAATACCTATTTGGATATTGGTCAACATTCTGCATTAACTCAAGCTGACATTGTGCACTAGGAACGTAAAAGGGGTCACTTCTGATTTCTTGGCTGTTCTGTCTGACAGAACAAGTAAATCAGGGATGTACTTTGTGTTGGTAGATGTTGTCAGTGATGTCTCTGCTTCCTTACAGATCCACAGCCCAAGAACTACCTGGTTTACTATGGCTTCTCCAGCTTTGCAATGGAGATGAATGAGCTGACCACTGATCTTAAGCCCCTGCTGCCCCCTACAGATACACGCTTGCGCCCTGACCAAAGGTGAGACCCATATAATAGACAATGATAAATAGACGCAAGCTGCAACTGAAATCACATACTTCCCTACTATATAGTAGGCGAAAAACAGCATGTGACAGAAGTATGTCCGAATTCACAGTACTCATAAAAGAGTAGGCAAAAAGTACATGGATGATCTACTACTTCTGGCGAGATTTTGAAGTGTGCATACGATGGACACTTTTCTATCCCACGAGGCCACGGGACAGGATTTGTCTTAGGTCACATGATAATGACAACATGAAGAATGTAGTACATCCAGATGACACACATTCATACTATTTAGAACATTGTTTTTTTGTTTTTTTTTTAGCTGTTGTGAAGTCATTTCTCATTCAAAATAAGTACCTACTCAAGAGAGTATGCAATTTCGGATGTAGCCATAGTCTTTGGAGCCTGATGATAAGAAATGATTTACGAATCCCAAATAATTGGATCGTCTGTTTCGATATACAAAATATAGAAAGTCTGTGAAAACGTTTTTTAGGGCATCTGTTTTAAGTGTGCTCTGTGTTGTTAGGCTTCTTGAGGAGGGGAAAATACAGGAGACTGATAAAAAGAAGGATGAGGTGGAGGAAAAACAAAGAGAAAGGAGGAAAATTCTGGCCAAGAAAGGAGAGGAGCACATCCCTCGCTTCTTCAGGTTAGTTAGCATCAACTCCCAAACTGATTTATTCATAAGAATTAGAGCTGGAATGTTTCAATGTCCCCCCATCTTACAGGAAATCTTTGGATGGTGCGGGGAGGGAAGTTTGGCTGTACAATGGAACATATTGGAAGATCAGGGAGAATCCTGGATTTTCCAATGTTAAAAACCTGGATTTATGGTGAAGAACGCAGAGTGCAGCCACACCGTGGACAATAAATCCCTGTGATAAATCCAGTTTGCACAGTTTTTAAGAGACTATAGAACATTTTTGGAGCAAAGATGAATTGCTGAGGGTTTTCGTACTAAACCGAATCCATTGAGCAAGGATGATGCTTTTAGCAAACGGCAACAGGAGGGATACATTTTGAACACTTCTATTTATTTGATGGTTGAGGACACAAACTTGGTGGACAGTTTGGATCAAATATAAGCCAAAAAGTAATTGAAAATGTATGCGAGTTCTGGAGTTATGTTTAGTTTGAGCAATTGCACACATTTCTATGGGCAATGTTAAATTACCTTTCAGTTCAAGTACTTATGTGCCAGTGGATACAGCAAGAGTCTGGATAAAGTAAATGGATTATTTGATCATATATAATATTCAGGGGTCACCGGTTCATAAAAGGAACGCTATTTCTCTTACAAAGCCACGGCTCAACCTGAGCAGGATTTGCCAGTAAATGGATTAACTCTAATTTAGGCCCTCATTGACTTCTACTGAATGCGATTCCTGAAATCTGTCCTCGGCACTCTTAGATTGATTGCACATCTTTTTCTTTTTTTTCTCCTTTTTTTGGAACCAAATGTAAGATTCAAATTTTAGTCAATGATATTATATTTCTTGGCATTTAAATATGAATTAAACTCACAGTATGAAATGTGACATCAGAAACAACCATTTTGTGTAGGCCTGGATGAAGAAAATCAGTGTATTAATTGAATATTTGTACACTTTCAAGTAATGACTTTCATAGCTATTTAAAACCGCAATAAAATGTACAATATTAAAGAATAGAAGAAAATGAATTTAGTATAGTCGAGTCTTTTATTACACTTAGAATGAATCAAAAACATCATTTATTATACAGTATTTTAACAGCTGTGTCGGAGGCTCAGTGTGCTTGGCTGAGGAAACTTACTACAGAGCACCACTTTTATTATTAGTAATATTATTATAAATTGTTGCTTTTAACTCAACAGACAAGGATGGTGCCAGAGGGAACGTAACCTAAAAAGGTTCCTTAAAAGACCTGCCATTGACACTCTCAAAGATGTGTGGAGCATAATGTCCACCAGGGGTCAGCCAAAAACAATGGAGTGATTGCTAATATGACAGCAACAGGCATTTCAGTTCACATCAACAGTAACAAACGTTTCAGTGCATTTCAGTGTATAAAAAGAAACCAAACAAGAGCATTAATTACACATCTTTTAAATTAACATAGAAACACTTTAATTGCACTTTAAAGTACAAATTTGTTCTGTAACAGTTATTGTCAGTTAAATAATATTGTCATCTCTATTGTAGCCATTTTGTTTATCATTTTAAATTTCGTAATAACTAACCTTAATAAACCCGTAAGCAAATGAATTCCTTCAAATTATTACATTTGTAAAATATTACAAATTTCCCAGCATCTAAATTGCAAGGTATACGTTAAACAACCAAGCATTATCTGCCAATGGCTTTTTAATTCAGTAAATAATATAATGCAGTCTAAACCATATTACTCTTATTTCACTTGGTTTTGCATCAAAATACATATATGAAAAATATACAGAGGCAGTTAGAGTCAGATGGCTGACTTAAAAAAAAACACTAATATTGATACCATGTTGGTTTTTGCAGCATGTTACAATTTCTCGGAAACTTGAACACCTCGAAGAAAATGAATTTGAACGAAGAATCATAATGTTTAATTGTTCTATTTTTACAAGTTATGTAGATGTAGGTGGTTTCATAATAGAACACAGACCATACGCATATGTCTGTGTTCATATTTGCATGTGTGATCTGAAAGACGCAGACAGCTTCTATAAATTGACAGTTCTGATGTTTCCTGGAGCTCACAGGCTTCCGTTGTGTCCCAGAAGTCCCTGCACCGTCTTCTACAGTGGCATCTTGTCACCCACTTATCTGTCTGAGGTCATTCTCACCTTTGAATGCCAGCGGTGCCTGATAGGCTTCGACTGAAGGCTCTTTCTTCCTCTGTGTCACTGATGTCTGTGTGTGGGCTGTCTGCATGTTAGTATGTTGTTTGAATAAAGATGATGATAGTCCATCTGAAGCCCCTGCCAGGTGTCCATTTTTCCACCCTGTCTATCCGCATGCAGTCATGTGCGACGCCTCGAGACATGATGCTGTTGGTTTAAGTATGTCCTGTTACAGGTCATCAGATTGACACTAGTGCGTTTATCCTAACCCGTTGACTTTAACTAAATGAAACCTGAGGATTACAAGGCCCTGTCTAAAACAATCGCCTTCACACATGTTGCCAGTTTTACTTCTACAGTACGTGGTAGAAGTGAAATTGTTTTTCAGCACTATGACACTTTAGAGAGATTTTAGAAGAATCTTTAGAAGATTTACTCTTCTAACACTGATATCTACATATAGTCATCTTCATTTATATAGCGCTTTTAACAATGGATTGTTTCAAAGCAGCTTTACAGAGATATACAGGTTCAGCATTTTAAATCTGCACACTATTTTTCCCCTTTGACTTATTAACCTTTAACTCTTTCTTTGCCTGTTTTTGTGTTTTTCTATCTGAAGCAGTGCAGTTTTTGTTATATATGTATATATATATATTGTAAAAAGTGATCAGTTGACTTGACTTAAAAAAACTGAGGAAACCCGTTGCCTTAAAATAAGTAAATAACCTTCATGCATAATTGAAAACATTAACTTGTGTAATTGTCAGGTTCACATAACTTAATTTTTTCAGTTACACATGAAGCTTATTACTTAATTTTAAGGCAACGGGTTTCCTCACTTTTTAAGTTAAGTCAACTGACTTGTGTATATATATATATATAAACTGGCTACTGTTCAAAAGCTGCATTTTTATTTGATTAGTCTTTTTTTTTCTCTTCATTTTCAGCAGCCATAACTCCAGTCTTCAGTGTCCCATGATCCTTTCTTCTAATATGCTAATTTGGTGCTCAAGAAACATTTCTTCTTATGATCAATGTTGAAAACAGTTGTGCTGCTTAATATTTTTGAAGAAACTGATAAAACGCATGCATTCTATCAACCGTGTTATGTCTGTCTATTAAAAGATGGAATCCCAGCTGGTGCACATAGAGCCATGGTCTGTTAGACATCATGGCTCTTTTATTTCCAGCATATGTTGTCTGAGTGGCCTAGGCTTTAATGTGCTTATTGATTGTGCTCCCTGTAGGGTTGCATTTTGGGATTGACCGGACACACAAATGTTGTACTGTAATGAAGGCTCGCATTTGAATGCACGATGTATTGTGTTAAATTGTTATGCAGCACACAAGTGCATGCACCATTAGCCTGGTTAAATATAAATATGTTTAATATGAAAATGTCTAATGTTGTTTACAATGAGACAAATTGTACAGTAACAGTTTTTTTTTACAATCTGAAAAACAGCTATGTTACAACAACCATTGCTGAAGCCAATTTGAAGATCATCAGCACATGCTTACAGGTCCAAAGCAGAGTCAAATTCATGTCATTTAGAGACCAATTAAAAGGCTTGTGCACAAAATTCCAGGTTTTCTGCAGCCATACGATAGCTTTGGATGAGAAACAGACTCATTAAATCATCATTCATCCGCTCTGACTCTCCTTTGGTGCGTTCATGAAAGAACAAGCGTGTCCGAATTGCGAACACCAGATACCAGATTTAAATTTCATGTCTGTTTCTCATCCAAATCTTGACATGTAACACATGAGTTGTATGAACTACTTTTACGGTGCCTTTTGCGTCTTTGAAGTTTAGAAGTGCTTTGTTGTAATTTCTTAAATGTCTTCTTTGTGTTACACAGAAAATAAGAAAGTAATGTGCGTTTGGAACGACATGAGGGCGAGTAAATAATGACAGACTTTTCATTTTTGTGTGAACCATCTCTTTAAGTCCACGTTTTTAAAGAATGTGACAAGAACGATTTGATTGTTTGTTCGAGTGTGCTTGTGGCGCGTGGGTTTTTGTGAGGTGTTTTTCGAGTCTGATGAGGGGGACAGAGACAGTTCCTTTGGGGGAGTGTCAGCAGGTGTGCGGTGAAATCTTCAGCTGCTAAAGTCACACAGGTCTGTCCGTCTGTGTGTCTCCAGGCCACTGTCTCAGCGCAGTCACATCGTCTTCATCTTTTGTGCGACCGTGACCTTCAGAACACCTCCACATGACCCCCAAACATCTAACACAGGGAACACAAAGCACAGAGGGGCCAGCTAACACCTGGCACTGTAGCTACTATCACAGAGAGCTTGATCTCTGTGTCTCGGGTCATGCAGACAGACGGTGGGTGGAAGACAGTACTAGGAGCGCAGTCTGATTGTTGCTCTTCAGTGGGTGTAGAAGCCGTAGTAGCCCGCATCACTGCAATTGTCCTTTTCGCAAGCCTCTGCGCTGCGGTTAGGAGGGGAATTTTCCGTGCTGGACGTATAAGGCGACACTCGCCTCTTCTTGTTCTCTCCTCCCTCGAACAGACCTGAGTCGGCAGAGTCTACCGATTTAACCGAGGGGGCTTCCATCCAGGTGTCCTCCCCGGACTCTTTGGACTTCTCTTGGAGAAGTGGCAGGCGCTGGGGCTCGAGGAGCGACGGGGAGGGGTGGAAGCGCGAGTTCGCTGCTGAGGGAGATGACGACGCAGCTGGGGATGAGATGGTTCGGAACCAGCCGATGCTAGACCCGGGTTTACTGTGGTGTGGGTGATTTAGGTACTGCGTTGAGGGACGTCCTGAGCTCCACGGCCCTGGGTTGGAGCCGGACACCGCCCCGGAGGCAAAGTGGCTTTCAGGGTAGTAGCCCAGCGGGTGGTGAGGTGACGTCTGAAGCGGAAAGGGTTTGTAGAGGCTGTTGGAAGGGTATTCGCTCTCGTACGCGTTGAAGTCGAGGCGGTTCGGCGGCACCCCCTGCTGGCTGGACAGGTACCAGCGGCTGTGAGGGCTGGCGGTGGGGTCTTTGGGGCACTGCTGGGTCATGCTGACAGGCTCGCGGGTGTAGAAACGACTCTGAGACAGGGGACTCATGTACTGGTCAGACAGGTACGGCTGGTGAGAGTAACAACCGCCTGAAAGGAGCTGCTGGCTTTCGGTTGGGGAAGGCGTGAGGCGGTCCGAGTCAGGAGGTGCGTACAGCCTACATGAAAAAAGAGAGGGTCAAAGGTCAACTTCAACAGACAAAACCCCTCCTGAAATGTTAATCCGTTAATGTTAAAACCCCCCATTGGTGAAAATCAAGTTTTTAATGTTGTTAATATGTCTATGTGGTGATTTAAATATGCTTTAAGACAAACCATGTGCAAATTCATAGGTCAACACCATTGCTGAGTATTTTCTCTTTAAGACTGCAGTGATCTAAAGACTGTCTCAAAAACGCGGTTTGAAATCGGCAGTGTTTCTGACGTCACAAACAAACCAATCCCGTCAACGTGCGGGCGGGCTTTTGCATTTCATTAACCGCGGTCTCGAGAGAAGCCAGGTTATCCCGGTATATTTTTCTGTTGATATGAAAAATCGGGTACATTTAGCAATATAGCGGGTGAATTATGTATATGATGAATATTACAATGTTATGATGAACTATATGCCTTTCTGACGTTCTAATTTGTCCAAAGTGTTTCTGCAGATTTTTTTAGAAGGCAGCTGTCTGACTCTGGGATGGTGAACGGGAACATGGTTTGTGTAAAATTAGCAACACATTATTAGCTGTTTGATAGGCAAGCCAAAGGCTAATCATATTAATTACCGTTATGTGTCCGACGTTGTAGAAAGAGATAAATAAAACACATTACCATTCTGACACATCAACTTGTTTACGAGCCTGTACTTCACTTGTACTTCACATTTCTTCTTCTACATTCAATCAGTTTTAAGGCATTAATAAAAAAAAAATTCACAACCAAAATTACATATTTAAATGTTTTTTTCCTATCAAAGATGTTATAAGGGATACAATTATTGAATACAGGGGGACTTTAAAACTGTTTTACCATTAATTGAAGTGAGAATGCCTTTTAAATTCAGAACTGAGGTAGCAAACAAGATGTAGAATTGCAATTCGAATTTAAATAGGAAGTGGAATTAAAAAGATTTGTAAATTCATATAGGCCTAACTGTAATTTAGGTACCTTTAAAATTAGACAGACAGACAGATAGTTCCACAGAGACCAATTTTTCTGTGTTTAATTTACTCCAGGCTTACTTACGTGTCATAATTGTCCCGGAAACCTTTAGCAAACGGGTTATGATCTATTTTCAGCTGGGTGATCTGTGAAATGGCAGGGGAAGGGGTTGCAGAAAGGGCAGAGAGAGAGAGAGAGGGTAAGAGTAAAGCCACATGGGCACATGAAGCACAGTCAGGGAGACTGATAGATCACTGTCGTAACGAAATAATTCATGAATTACTCTCATCCTCTTTCCTACAGCCACAGTTAACATCTCTAGCTCACACAACCCTTTACAAACATCAGACTCAATGTGCAGACATAACACAACTATCTCGTCTGGGTCGTCCCACACTGTGATGTCATGTCTCTTTGTTTGCTGGAAGCAGTGGTTATGTGGCAATTGCAATCTGATTAATAAAAAAGAACCCACATCATGATGCGTTCAGATGACGTGACTTACATCTGCATTCTGGTAGGCAGTGACGGCAATGAACTGAGTCTCAGGGAAGACAAACGTCTGAGTTTTAGAGGTCAGGAAGGTATCCTCCGTTCCATCCTCCTTTACCTCCACGATGTGAAGTCGTGGTTGGTATTTATGGAGCGACTGTAGTACTATCATCTGTATACCAAGCAATGCAATAGTCAGTGGAATAGTGCAGATGTGATATGGTGTCACAGAAGGATGATATTTTCAACCCAAATGGTAAAAGTACTCTCTGTTTGACTACAACCAATGTTGACATAGATGACTCAGGTGTGGGTATGGTGTAGTAAGACTTACTTAACAGGGTTTATTATTATATTACCTGTCCTACGTTGTTAGAGCTGCCTTTGTTATTTGTAAGTTTCAGTTTGCCAAAGGAAACTTCCTGTCTCATCCAGTGATTCCCAGTGTTGGGAGAGTCTGGGTGCATATACATTCTGTTTCCTGTAAAAAAAAGAAAAAGAAAATTTAAGTTTAATAAATATATATAAACAAATGCAGTTTAAAAATGTATGTATTTAAACCATATTTTACTGTCAATGACACAGTGATTTTTAAAAAAAGTCTTTTTGTTATCAAAATGCATATTTTGTGTGAAATATCATCACAATTTAAAATCAATATTTTGTATTCTAATATATTTAAAATGTAATTTATATCTGTGATGGCAAAGCAGAATTTTCAGCATCATTACTCCAGTCTTCAGTGTCACATGATCCTTCAGAAATCATTCTAATATGCTGATTTGCTGCCCAATAAACATTTCTTATTATTATCAATGCTGAAAACAGTTGTGCTACTTAATATATTTTTGGTGGAAACTGTAATAAATACATTTTTGCCTTCTGTTCTCAAAATGTTAAACATTATTTATACATAAACATTATTTTTTACATTGGTCATGGAACATCTGAAACGTTTTTTCTTTTTTAAATTAGTTTCATAACGTTCGTTTTTCCTTTAAATGTAGAGAGAACATTCAGAAGTAAGGTTTTCATAACTTTAGGGGAACATTAGCAAAGTGTTCTTTGAACATATTTTTTTGTTTTGCTGCATGGGTACGTTGCCATATTTAGGAAAGGATAGGTAAGGATTTTAAGTAAAGAAAGACATAAGTATGAGTATATTTCCAGCAAAAAAACTTTGTGAATTGATTAGAATAAGCCAATTAAGAGTGCAATGGCAAGTGTTTTACACCTGCACTACAATGCAATTTTGCTTGAACAGCAGTTGCAGTGCAAAGATGTTGTGGTGGGCCACATGCTTAGGTTCCTCTGATTGTGGCATACAGCGGTATCAGAAACACTCATGCATTTCTAGCCACAAAAAGACAGAGCTCAGTGTGTGTGAAGTTTTCTTGCATTGCCCAGAAAGCACTCAAACCACAATTCAGATAAAGACATTAATCTTGTTTGCAGGGTTTAAATGTAGATAGTGGCCAGGAAAAGGCAGTGTATTTCTATCGGATACCTGGCATGTTGCCTTCTGCCTTTCCACACTGGACCCATTTGCCTCCTTGGTATCTCCAGTGATGCTGGTCAGCGAGAACCACGTCCACATATATGTTATAATGAGCCGAGGGATCCAGTGAGCTGATGTTAAAGCTGAGGAAAGGGAACATCCTCCTGTTGACAGACAGATCAGAAAACACCGTGAGATGATAGAGGAATACATTACTGCTGTTGTGTTATGGATAAAGATTTGAGATCACGGACTTAACTAGTTATTTGGGATGCAGTGATGTTAAAATTCTCGTCGATAGCGATAAGCGAAGAAATAGATTTTGTCTAAACTAAATATGTATATTTAGATAAATATAAAATAAATTATAACTATATATAATAACTTTAATAAATAGTTTTATTCAAAATTAAATTAATGTCAGATTAATGTTGGGAATTTTCTTTTCCCTTTTAAAAAACTTTTTTTAAAGGTAGCCTACACTATTTATTTATTTTGTTTAAAATAAACCGCATTTCAATACATCAATACATCATCATTCCTTCTTCCAAAACGTGTTTTTTTGTCTTACCCAGATTCACTAGGGTAAGCCTAGTATCCACCTTTTTCCTAACAAGCCTACTTGATTTTAGATTATGGGAGGTACTTCCGGTTTGGGGAAGTTCCACTCAGAAAAACTGAAACAAATCATTTCAAATCAAAGGTTTCACTACTAATCCTTATCTGTCAGTTTGACTGGATCACTTAATGTTCAAGTAAATGGATATTTTTGATTAAGGCAAAATGTTACATAATACAGACACATTTAACACATCCTGCTGTGGAAATAATCGGGGGTTATTCATAGTCTGTGGTAGTAATTTGTTAATAATTTTACTCTTTTAAACGTCCTTTTTATGTTCGATTGTTGAAAGGTGAGTATTTCATTGTACCCAGTTTTTAAAAATGCGTATTATTGCGCTCATAGAGCGAACCACTCGATGATTCATTTAGATTTTTTTTAACAAATAAATTGCCATATGTAGCTCTTTAACAGAGTTCATTGTAAAGCATTATCTATTATGAAGCGTCATTTCATTATTGTTGATGTAATGCTGTGCTGGAATTTTATTATCAAGGAAGTACCGTGTCTATTAATGGGTAAAGCTACAGTAATGTAGTCAGCTTGAGATCCTTTCCATCTAAACTGGTTAGGCTATATCTCTTAAGCCTAGTGGTGAATGTTTTATGAGCAGTAGGATAACCATATTCATCCTCAGAGTCGAAGCACAACCAAAACAATGTTCTTCCGCAAAATGCATGCAGTTTTTTTTAACCACTTAAGGGCCAAAAGTTACATTGTGTACCTTTAATAAAAGTGGCGTCCCTCTTTAAGAAATAGTGTTTTTAAAAAGGATTATATTTAAAACGTTAAAATTACACTGTCCTTTATATTAAGATCATGCTAGATGATGGGAACAATTGCTGAAATGTTTTAATTTAATTAAATTGAACATCACCAATCGACTGACACAATAAATGAAGACATCATTAATATCTGATATGATCCCTATATATATGAGGGTGAGTATTTGGTGGTAAGCAATAGTTATGTGGGCACATTCATTGCGATAGAGAGGCAATGGGAGCAGGCTGTATGTGAATCTTTAATATGACTATTAATAAAAGATGTTAGGAGATGCATCTGCTTGATTGCTGTAGTTTTCCTTGCTAGACAGATTTTGATCACGGTGCAGTGATGGAGAGGAGGTAACTGGGAGGTCAGTGTGTCCCATAGGGTGAAGTCTCCTTAGGCACACACTTCCTGCAAAAGACCCAGTATTTAATGTTCTACAGCCGTGTTTCTGTGCCTTTTCACCTTGGCACCACTTGTGATACAACAAACATTTGACATCAGCCATTCTGGCTTCAATTCAACCTCACCCAATACTATGACGCTTTCGGTCTCACTAACACACTCCAGAGATGACGTCTGTGCTACACGGCTGTCTGTCATTCAATGGTTTCAACAGTTGCAGGCTACTGCTCATGCTTGTATGTTTCGTCTTCAGCCGGATGCTCCTGTCAGGTGACACTCAAGTGCAGTTGTCTGCTCGTATCTGTGTCTGTATCATATCAATTCCATGAACTGGATATAGACCAAATCATTTGTATATGGCTCAGAATGGATTTAGGTTATAAAAATCTCTCACTCTCTGTCCTGTCTTCTGTGCCTTTGAGCTTTCTGAGTGAAACTATAAACCTTTTTTTCCCATTGGGAAGAGCAGGAGGTCACATTATTGGAATTCGTTCTGCTTTATATAGACATTTTACTTTGTACATGCCATGGATATAGAATTGTGTTTTGGACACATTGTAGGTAATTCTTAAGAAACGATTTTGTAATACTTTTTAACATTAGTAACATTACATGCACTACCATTCAAAAGTTTGGGCTCAGTAAGATTTTTTTAAGAAGAAGAAGAAATTAATACTTTTATTCAGCAAGGATGCATTAAAAGTCACAGTAAAGACTTTTACATTGATACAAGAAAAAATATTTTAAATAGATGCTGTTCTTTTCTTTCCTTTCATCAAAGATCCCAAAGATTTTTTTTTGAAAAATGGTTTCAACATTGACAATAATAAGAAATGTGTCTTTAGCACCAAATCCGCATATTAGAATGATTTCTGAAGTATCATGTGACACTGAAGACTAGAGTAATGACTGCTAAAATATGTTGCACAGTAATTACACAGTAATTTTTTTAAGATATTACAATAGAAAATAGGTATTTAAATTGTTCACAATAATTCTGTTTTATTGAATTATTTATTTATTTATTTAGTATTTTTATTTTATAAAATAAATCTGGCCTTGGTAAACATTAGAGGCTTTTTTCAAAAACTGTCCAAACATTTTTTAACATTATTGTACTGTAAGTCTGTGTAAGTCTAACCCTAAAACAATTTTTAAACAACTATTTATGATTAAAACAAACAGTAAAGTTTAGCATTGATGTTTCCCATTTAACTAAACAGTAGTAGTAATAATAATAATAATAATGAAGCATTTATATAGCACTTACATACACTGTACACCCAAATAAATTGTTCACAATAATTCTGTTTTATTGAATTTTTTATTTATTTATTTAGTATTTTTATTTTATAAAATAAATCTGGCCTTGGTAAACATTAGAGGCTTTTTTCAAAAACTGTCCCAACATTTTTTAACATTATTGTACTGTAAGTCTGTGTAAGTCTAACCCTAAAACAATTTTTAAACAACTATTTATGATTAAAACAAACAGTGAAGTTTAGCATTGATGTTTCCCATTTAACTAAACAGTAGTAGTAATAATAATAATAATAATGAAGCATTTATATAGCACTTACATACACTGTACACCCAAAGAGCTTTACAATCATGTCAAGGGTCTCTCCTCAACCACCGCCATAGTGCAATGTAAATTATATTATCAATTACCTCATGCAGTGTGATCATTTAAGACACATGATAACCAATGATGTCTGACTTGTTGACAAAACAACATGTGCATGTACAAATGTGTGAAAAGTTTCTCTGAATTACAGCAGAGGGAAAGTTCCTCTAAAAGCACATTACAACAGTACAATGTAATAATGTTGTCTGCACTTTTTCGTACTTTTCGGAGTTCAACACTTTACAGTCACTGTCTACTTTTCTATGCAAAAGCGCAGCTTGCACATTCTACTAAATATTTCATTTTGTGTTTCCAAGAAGTAAGTTACACTAGCTTCAGTGAGTGGAAAGAAATAAAGAACCACCGGTTTGTTTTCGAAAGAGACAATTAAGAGATATTTCTAACTGAAATAAGTTTCTCTTTTCAAGAAGGGTAAAGGACGCCTGATGTCGAGGATTAGAGTGTGATGACGCTTGTTTGTTACAGGGTGGCATGACACAAGCGCACGGACTGCCCACCCACGGGCAGCTGTAATCAATCATCATTCTCAGATGGAGCCCTGGCATTGTCGGGCCTTGTGGTGGTGAAGAGACCCAACAGGTGAAGGGTTTCTTCTTCCACATCAGTTGTCAATATAAGTGAAAACAGAAACCAGAATCATCTCTGTATCATTCAGCGCTCATGCGCTGCCTCCTCGTTCTGAGTTATAACTATACCGTCGGTGGCAGTCACTTTCCTCATCTGACTGAGCCTCAGAAATTGTCATACTTTTTTAAAATGAGACATTTATAAGAAATCAGTACCTGGAGAGGGGGAAACCAGTGGGTTCACCACTGAGAGGAATGTTTTGCATGAGTAGGAGTTTAAGGTTTACGACAAAAAGTTAGAGGTTAACCTTTGGAAACTTCTCTGCCACTCCTTGGCCATGAACACGGTAATAGGTGGTTGCCAAGCAAAAATGCCTCCTCTGCTGTCCAGGACTCTAGGAAGATACAATTTTTCATACGTATGTGTTTCCCCTTAGCACAAGAAGTACTTGGTGTGATCAACGCAACATTGCAGAGTAAAAAAGACAGGAAGGGACCATTAAAAAAAAAAAAAACCCTGTCTGGATATAGACCGGTAAAGGGGGCTTTCTCCCCGAGCCTGTCATTGATTTGCCAGGACAGGAGTTCAGGTCTAGTTTGTGTCATCCTTGTAGTCTTGATTCTTCTGCAAACATGCCAGTCTGCCAGTTTTTTTTTTACGTAAAGGTAAAATATCAAACAAGACACAAGCAGATTGGCATGTACTGTAAGCACAGCATGTTTACGTGGTTATTGTAAGCAATTATGTGAATGTGGTTACATTCAGAAACCACGATATATTTGCTGATGTTGGAGAATTGTCATAGCTGTATGATGAGTTTGTAGCATGGCTGCTGAAAAACAGTGGCTGGAAATGGAGCAGGCAGCAACCACAGGCACAGATACATGTACAGACGATCCCTTTGATCTCGACAGGGTTCTGCTGATGTGCTACTGTCACAACTCATCTGTTTCTGTCAGAGCTGCTTGATGGGATTCCACTGGAATCATGTACACAGCCATCAATCTGTTCTGTAGTGAGCGGTGACTATTCAACAAGTTTGCTGCTTCTGAGGTCTGGCTTTTTGCAGCAAGACTGCATACTCCATGCCACCATATAGAGCTGAACAGGATGTGATTGTTAGTTGAAAAAAAAGAAAGAAAGAAAGCTTG